ATAAGAAAATAAAATTGTGTCTTTGCTAATACCAATAACTTTTGGGATGTTGTAAGATTGAGACTGGCAAATGCTAAGGCTAGTAGATCTTGGATAGACAATATAATGAAATAAATTAAAGTTACATACTGTCTACTAGTTATAATTTTTATTCAAAAAATATGTTTGTACTAATTTGTATTTTAAAAAAATTAAATTATGGTTAAATATAAAATAATGAAAACATGTCAACTTCTAAGTAATAATAAAATCAGCACGTATACATTCCCATAGTAGTTATATATGAGTGTAGACTATTATTCAAGCCAAATATAATATTGAGGGAAGATCTAAACCAAGTCATAGGTTAGGGGAGCCAACAAATTTAATGCTTTTACAATATTTGCACCTAATTTTTTGAAAACCACCAAATTTTTAGAGTTAGTAAACTTTCCCCATAAATGCATGACTTATGTGACTGCAGAAAACGTCAAACTTCTGATAGGCAAAGAATTAATTAATTTTTTTTTAAATATAATATTGAATATGTATGACGTGTATGTTGAGGTAACAAACTAATTAATACCCTCCTACAAAATTATATAAATGAACTAATTATACTCGCTACATCAAGTGACTAAACAGAATATAAGTGATGTTATATTTTACTTCTAAACTTAATTAGTCCCAAAATGTTAACATTCTTACGTAGCATTGGTTTTTTTTTTTTTAAATTATTAATTTGTATTTTATTAATAAATTGATTTTTTTTAACACATAGTGAAATCAGTCAATTCATAAGCAACTAGTACGTAAATTGAATATAAGAAATTTTATTGTCATGGCAAGATGCAAACGTTAGAATAATGTAATTTTTTTGAGTACTTGGAATGAAAATTTAAGAAAGAAAAAAAATAACATATTTCATACCAACCTTATAAAATGAAAAACCAACAACGGATGTTATATGGTACATGTATCGGCCGAGTTGAATTTGCACCATTATGAATATTTATGATAGAACTAATAGGCCGGTGTGCAGATTGAATGGTGTCGTTTTTTTTTTTTTTTAGACGTGTTTGGGTGACAAATCTTTGTAGAACCTTGATGGTGTTACCTTGTTGCTTGCGGCATGCGTTGGTGTTGTGTGGCCTAAGGTCATGTAATTTTTTATTAACTTTTTTTTTTGTTTTTTTTTTTTTTTGTTTTTTTTTTTGTTTTTGTTTTTTTGTACATGTTTCTCCTTAGCTTAAAAAAAAAAAAACTTATAATCAAATACATTTATAATTAAGGGTTTTGATTTCAAAGTTTCTGCACAAATCCTAGCTTGTTTTGTATTATAATGATACAACAATCCATATTTTCTTTTAGGAATAATGATAAAAATTGACAATTAGTTGGTTGTCTGCCATAATATTATTGCTACCTTGACATTGAAAATGAAATGAATTTTGAATTTTCTTTATTTTAACTGATGTAAATATTCATATTTATTTGTCTAGTCAACTTATAGAACAAATTTCTTATTCTTTTCACAAATTTTCTTCCCCCTCTTGCTGCACAAAATAGACATGTGGGCAATAAATAATATAGGAAAACGTTCTTTGCATATATACAATAATATAATATTACAATTAATTTCTTTTATTTATTTATTTATTGTAAATTAGCTAACCTCATTAGTAATGATTTGAATGAAAATTTGTAAGTGTGTACAAATTTGGAATTAGATTGCATTTTTTTAAAACTAAAATTAGAATTGTTATGCTGTGCAACTGTGTATGGTGCACACGGGTTTAAATTCATAATTTATATACTATAGATTTATAATTTCTATACTGTAGATTCATAAAATCTATACTGTAGATTCATAATTTCTAAACATGTAGATTCATAATTTCTATACAGTAGATTCATAATTTCTATACTGCAGATTCATAATATCTGTACTGCAGATTCATAATATCTGTACTGTAGATTCATAATTTCTGTACTGTAGATTCATAATTTTTAAATTGTATAGTTATCAAATTATGAACATATAAGTATACCCAGGGTTTCCACCGTCGGACACAGTGACTAATCCCCTGGCTGAATTATAGACACCTCTGTTGTCCTGGGTGGGACATCTGACATGGAGATTTAAGGCTGCTCTATCCCCAAAACCAAGGATCGAACCCTTGACCTTTGGTTAAGGATGGATGAGTCCCTTCAAATTATGAACATATAGTTATGTGATTTGTGAATACAGAGTTCAACAATTTGGAATATAAACATCGAAAATTATGAACATATAGCTCTATAATTATGAACATATATTTATAAAATTATGAATCTTCTACAGTATAAATTTTATGAATCTACTTTATAGAAATTATAAATCTAGACCCGTGTGCATCATGCACACAGTTGCTAAGCATAATTTGCCCTAAAATTACTCCTAATCTTTACTTATTAATGGGCTATGCATTGTGATTTTTTTTTTAAATTTTATATATTTATCATTATAGGAATTTTTTACTACCTTTTGATGATATTGATCAATTTGCCGGTAGCTCATAAGAAAGTGTTTTTATATATAGAGGAAATTTTTAAGGGGTCAATTCATACCTATGACTATTAAGTCTTATATTCACTATCATTCCAAACTGAATAGTGAATAATTTGAGCTTATATACTAGATACAAAGTAAACGTACGTTGTTCTCACATTTTGTGACATTGAATTTGTATGAGGCATGACACAAATCAGTACCATATAGCATTTCCATATATATAGTTTTGGTCGATTCATTTTAAAATTTGATATATTTATCAAAATATCAATTCTAATGTTTTAGAGCCACTGGTTATTCCCAGATCAACGACTAGGTTGTATCTATAGTTTTTACTAAGGCAATAGTTCTTAAGTAATGTGGATGTGCACGGGCGCGCGCACGTAAGATTAAATGAGAATGGGTTCAATAAAAAGTGAGGACGGGTCTCACCCATCCTGCCATCCATCAAGATTTATCAATGGTTGAAAGTTTTAGTAAAAAAAATGCAAGATTAATTTTATAATTATTAAAAATTTTTAGAAACGAGGTTCATTTTATAATTATTGTAAACTTGAAAGTTTAATAATGGTAAAATCCTAACTTTTGATTTCTCAAGATGGAGGGGTAGATCTATCTACACTTTTTACTGAGAAATAATGTGTTCTCACGAATCTCACCTAAAACATCAAATAAGAACAATCCATTCATCAAGAATTTTAAATAAGAATAACCCCTTCTGTAAAAAGTGAAGATTGATCGCAGCCGCTTATTAGGGCTCATCAATAATTGATGATATATTGGTGACAAAAATAATTCTCAAGGAACTAAATTCGCCACTTTAACAATAATTTAGTAACTAAATTTATTTCAAATAATTGAATGATTAAATCTATACTTTAGTCATACTTGAGAGACTAATTAAAAATGACAATTTTCCTTTAATTAAATGAACAAAAGGTACATGGACCCAGAGACGGAGGTAGCCTGCTGCCTCCCCCCATCGTTATGCGTTGGACCTGTGTCCAGCATGCTTGCTGGACACGGGTAACAGTGCCGTTAGGCACTGTTATCTCCTTTTTTTTTTTTTTTTTTTTTTTTTTTTTTTTTAATTTCAGACCGCTTCGTTATAGGAGTATATGTTCATAATTTTATTACTATATTATTAATAACTGTACATTCATAACTCTATAACTGTACGTTCATAACTCTATAACTGTACATTCATAACTCCATGACTGTACATTCATAACTCCATAACTGTACATTCATAACTCTATAATTGTACATTCATAATTTTCGAAGCTCTATGTTCACAATTTTAGAGCTCTATGTTCATAATTTTATCACTATATGTTCATAATTGTAAGTTCATAATGTTAGAGCTTTTTGTTCATAATTCGATCAATAACTGTACTTTCATAATTCCATAACTGTAGATTCATAATCTTATAACTGTAGATTCATAACTCCATAACTGTAGATTCATAACTCCATAACTGTACATTCATAATCTTCGAAGCTCTATATTCACAATTTTAAAGCTCCATGGTCATAATTTTATCACTATATATGTTCATAATTGTAAGTTCATAATGTTAGAGCTCTGTGTTCATAATTTCATAATTGCATAACTGTACATTCATAACGGCATAACTGTACATTCATAATCCAAAAAAAAAATAACGCCGTTAACGGCAAAACGCGCGCGAATTTTTTTTTTTTTTTTAACTAAATGACGCGTTTTTTTTTGAAAAACGACGTCGTTTTGGGCCCGTGTCCACAATTCACTGTGGACACGGGTCCAGGGCATAATTTGCCCTCCCCCCCGCCAAAAGGCAATTTATATCCTACACCATGGCGTACATTGCACTATGCGCCCAGATGCAAAACGACGTCGTTTTAATTATTATTTTTTTTGAAATTTCCCGCCCCAGTGAATGGCAGTAGGCTTTTCTTTAAAAAAAACCCGCTGTTCAAGAATGTACATAATGTTATACTTGAATACACATAATGTTATACATGAATACACATAATGTTATAACAAAATATACATACTCTTTTTAAAAGATAATACACATAATCTAACATAATACATAATAAACATAAACTTTTAACATAATACACATCAACTCTTAACATAATACACACAAATTTTCTGATTCGGATGTACATAATTGTATAAAAACAATGTACATAATTGTATAAAAAATACACATAACTGTATGAACCAATACACATAACGTTGTGAACGAATACACATAACGTTGTGAACGAATACACATAATCTCAGCAACTTCCTACCGCGCCTCCCAATACAACCCCAAAACGATGTCGTTTTGGGAGGCGCGCGGCGCACAGTGCTATGTGGGCTGTGGTGTAGGATATAACGATTGCCGCCAAAATCATACAGCCCCAAACCGTTTTGGGGCTGTATTATATATATAATTTTTTTTTTTTTTTTTTTTTTTCATTTAGATAGCAGTTCACGACTTCACGCAGAGCTTTGGAGACTGGAGTCGGCGGAGTCGTTCGTCGCTGGAGTCGACGGAGTTGGAGTCGCTGCTTCACTGCTTCCGGTTCGCCGCCTTACCGCCGTAACCCCCTCAGCCCTCAGTCGCCGCCCGCCGGTCAGCAGGAATGCCGGCAGTGCCTCTGGTCTCCTCTCAGTATTCATCAGGTTTGTTTCTTTGCTCTAATTTCTCAAATTTGAATTGAATACATGAATTAGGGCAATTGTATTTTACTGTATGAAGTATGAACAGAGCAATTGAATACATGAATTAGGGCAATTGAATACATGAAGCTGTTTCTTAGCCCTAATTTCCCTAATCAAGAAATCTAATTTCCCTAATTTCTCTAATGTTAATCAAGACTAATTCATGTATGAATGTATGATAGACTAATTCATGTATTATAGATTGCTAGTTAATCAAGACACCAACATATAATCCAATTCTCTAATTGTATTTTACTGTATGAATTAGACTAACTCTTATCATTTTACAAGTATGATTTTGGTTAATTTTCCTAAATCAGTAAATTTGTATGAGTTTGGTTAATAACTTAATGTATGATTTGGTTAATTACTCAAAAAATACAGTAGCTCACTTACTCATACAGAGTTTGGTTAATTTGTATTAGTCAGTGTACTTGTTTGTTTAAGTGAGTGTGTTGTTGTTATTATTATTATTATTATTGATTGTTACGTGACCTTCGTTTTCGTCTGCAGTTCGAAACTAATTCACTCCGTCTCTCTCCGCCTCTCTCCGCCAACGCCACACCGCCCAGCCGCGATAGCCGGTCGTCGCTCCGCCGTTTCTCCGCCTCCGCCGTAGCCTCGCGTCGGTTCTCCGCCTCCTCGTCGTCGCTCCCACCCGCCCCAAGCCATCGCTCGCCGCTCCGCCACACACAGACGCACTGCCCAGCCTCCCCGCCGTCCGCTGCTCCCCCGACCGCCGTCCACCTCTTCGCCGCTGTTGAAGGTAATTTTTTAATTATTATTAATTAATTTTTTGTTATCTCTTTCATGCTGTTAATTCTATTTCTAGTGTGTAGTGTTTGTTTATTGTTTTTGTTTGTGATTGTCATAACTTAGGCTTGATTTGTTTTAATTTCTTTTATAGTACATGCAATCCTATTCCTCAGCACCACTTCTGTTTTGAAGAATATAGTAGAGGATTGATAGCTATATGTGAACTCTGGGTTTGGTCACTTTGGTGTAGTGGTCAAGTGCTCACCTATTAGGCACAATGAGATCAAATCTTTGAAAATAGATGTCAGATCTTGTAGATCTTCCTTCTATAGGCTACATCTTGTGAGATGAGACCTTATGCACTATCTATGACTTTTGTTCATAACATATGGGCTTTGTTAGTTATTGAGAGAATACTCATTACTGTTTGTATGATATGGCGTGGTTGCTCGCTGTGGCTAGTGTTATACACACTTCGCTATTTTGCAGTGGCTATGCAGATCGTATTCATGAACTCATGGTGATTTCACGAGAACTCATGGTTATTCTTATTAGATATATGTGTGTTGGTGTTAACAATGGTGATTTTGAGTTAGCAAAGGGCCCATACTGAATCCCATTCTGTGGGCCCACCATAGACCACCTGCAACACAGGAACAACAACAACATTTGACATTCTATTTTAGGAAATGGGAAATCAACCAAAAAAAAAACAGATACTCATCTTTTGTATTCAGTATTATCATAGATTAATATATATCAATAAGATTGTACTAGATTGATAAGAAGTCGTTAATAATATCTGATACAATCATGTTAGTATATATGATGATGCATATCAAGTGGTATGGAAGCTTCTTAACATTCCTTAATTCTGTGATTGATTAGGTTAGTAACTGAGGGATTGATTGGCCTCTGAAATTAGTGAAATTTTAGTTATGTGAATATAAAATCCTGGAGGGTATTTGTCCTAGTTCAAGTTTTTGCATGAAATACATTTCGCCTCAATCAGGTTTGCCATTTTGGTTGCAGGTACCAATGAATTACTTTTCGTCTAGTTACAAAAAGGAGAATGAAATTCTCCTGAAGGAGAATGAAATTCTCCGGAAGGAGCTTGAAGAGTGTATGGAGAAGCTCAGAATTGCCAATTTTGAAAGTAAAGACTCTGAAGACAGTAAGGAAAAGCTAATGAGGTATACACGTGAATTGGATAGCATGGATACTCAAAAGATTGTTAAGGTTGAAGCAGCTAATGTGCTTCTCAATCTGAAAATTGATTGGATGACCAAAGAAGAAGATAGACGAAAAGATATAGTTAGGCAGCACACAGACTCTATTATGAAGCTAAAACACACCATTGGGCGGCAAGAAAACACCATTGGGCGGCAAGAAAACATCATTGGGCGGCAAGAAGACACTATTAGGCGGCAAGGTAAGATTTGGACTGAGTTGAAGACTCAGCTGGAAATTAGAAACAAAGAAGTTGACGTAACTGTTGCAAAAGGGTTAAGTAGTCTTTTAAGTGAGTAGTCTCAATTTTATCTGTTGGTTGGTAGTGTCTAGTTTGTATCAGTTTTATCATTGAATTGAGGCTTGCAGTGTCTTTCTAGTTGCTACCAACACATTTTGACTTTTCGGCTTATAAAATTTTGTTGCATCTGTCGACTGGCAATGGCAATTTTGCTTGCCAAATACTCTGTACTCCTAATATGATAGATATTTTCGCTTGTCATCCTATTTCTGTATAGGTCCATTTAAACTTGGGCCAACATAACCCACAATTTAAAGTGGCTTATAAATCAGTTACAACTCAATAATTGTTCTCCTTATGGTTTAATCTTACGTGATATTAACAGTCTTCTTGTGTTATTTTCAAATGTTTCTATTTCTTTTGTAAAGCGTTCGGCTAATATAGTTGATCATGTATTAGCTAGAAATGCTAGTCTGTCTTTAAGGAGTCGGGTTTGATACACACCGCCCTCCTTTTATTTGTCATGCTTTATGTAAGGATTTACGTGATATATGAATCTAGTTGTGGTTCTGGTTTCAAAAAAAAAAAAGATGTGTGTCCTAATCTCATTATTCATTATTGGGTGTACTGTGATTTATTTATTAGCTAGGATTCATTTCAATTTGCATATATGTGTTTTTTTTTTTTCATACATCTTCTATGTAGTAGAGGTTCGTGTGTGTCTGTGTTTTTTTTTATTGTATACATAGTGCATACTCTTTTGGAGAATTCTTGTACAATAAATTATTTTTTCATTTTCTTTTGGAATATGAGTCATTGTTATTAATTTATATTTTAGATATACATTGCATACAATTTTAGCAATATGTGGTTTTGTGAGTTTGTGCATATATATATACGTATAATTGGGGTACTAGAGACCAATTGGTCAACCTTGGTCAGTTTGTGAGTATGAAGCCAAAACTATGGATTCACCGCTACGGCTCAGCTCCCAACTCTGGTTGCTTTATATGTTTGGGATATGTTCACGAACGATGCTTATGCAATCTGGTAATGCATGTTTCCTGTGTGTGCATCTTGGTGCTGTTTTAGTACACCAAGTAGCTATCAACTTTGAATTCTTTGTATTAAGTGTTTGTGAAGTTACTGCTGCGGCGATAGATGCACAATCTGGAATTCTGGGAAGCAAAAGCAGTGAGGTAGTGACTTTGTTCACCGCTATAGCAGCATGCAATATATATTAGTTTTACCATTGTAATGCCACTGTAATTCTACCATTGTATTTTTGTAAGCATCAATGTCAAGGCAACGAGGCAGTGGCTTTGGAATTGAAAAAGAAAAAAAAAAAAAGGAAAAGAGATAATGAGTGCAATCTTGAGAGCTGATTGGAGCAGTGTGGTAGTGGGATTTAAAAAGCAAGGAAAACATAATGCATCTAGGAGTTTTGCTGTGTTCAGGCTCCCTGAGAGTGTAACGCACAGACGCTGCCAATCTGGTGTCGTATCTCATTTGTAACAGGAGCAGCTCTGTAAACCAGCGGTCTTACAATAATTTTGGAAGGAACTCGCCATTAATGGCTGTGAACTGAACGAAGCAGGAGGTAATATATGTGAAATGACAGCTTTACCCTCAAAATTAACACTCATTTGACAGCAAACTTAACGGAGGACCAATGGTGGTTATTTTTAAAAGATGGAGGACATCTCGTGGTCGTTTAATAGTCGGATGACCACAGCTGGTATATGACTAATACTCGGAGGACCATCGGAGGTATTAACTCAAATATAAAGGTACGAAGTAGAGTTCTAGTCTAATACTAATAATATAGTCCTAATACTCCCCCTCAAGCAAGGTTGGCTAGCCAAAACATTGAGCTTGTGACGGAGCGAGGTAAAACGTAAAGAAATGAGAGGCTTAGTAAAGATATCGGCTATCTGGTCTCTGGTTGAAATAAAGTGAACTTGCAACTCTTTTTGGCGACTTTATCTCGAACAAAGTGATAATCGATCTCAATATGTTTTGTCCTAGCATGAAAAACTGGATTGGCTCACAAATAAGTTGTCCCAAGGTTGTCACACCATAGCTTCGGCACAAATATAGGTGAAAAACCGATTTCCTACATGAGAGAGACAAGCCAGGTGACTTCAGCAGACACATCAGCTAACCCCTTATATTTAGCTTCAGTTGAGGAGCGAGCCACAGTCCTTTGCTTGCGACAAACCCAAGATATAAGATTTTTCCCAAGAAAAATATCAAAACCGCTAGTGAATTTTTGATCGTCCGGATTACCTGCCCAATCCGAGTCAGAGTATGCATGAATATCAAGAGAATTAGAAGCAGATACGTGGAGACCAATATTGAGGGTACCGTTAACATAGCACAGTACCCTTTTTAAAGCTGCCCAATCTACAGTTGTAGGAGCATGCATATGCTGACACAAACGGTTAACGACATAAGAAAGATCAAGGCGAGTTACCACAAGATATTGTAGGGCACCTGCAAGATTGCGGTAATGAGTTGGATCTGCATACGGAACCAGGGGACCATCCACGGGTTTAACAGACGAAACTGGCGTGACCAATGGTTTGCATTCAACCATACCTGCCCGTTTCAGAATGTCCTTCATGTAACGCTGCTGAGATAAAAGCATACCACTAGATAATTGAACAGTTTCAATTCCCAAGAAAAAGGACTGAACCCCCATATCACGAACTTTAAACTCAAGAGCCAGCTTACTGACCAGTGCAGTAACACGATCCGAATCAAACCCCATAATTAAGATATCATCAACATAAACAAGAAAGTACGACCGAATATCATCACGCGAATAAATAAACAAAGAGACACCAGTTTTAGAGGGCGAGAAACCCACAGAGACCAAATAATCATGTAGTCGCGTGAACCAGGCACGAGGTTCCTGCTTGAGCCCATACAGAGAACGCTGAAGCAGACACACGTGACCGATCAGTGTCTTGTCCTCATAGTCAGGAGGTTGGCCATATACACAGTCTCAACCAACTTTCCGTTTAAAAATGCATTATGAATGTCCAGTTGACGAATAGTCCACCCACGGGAAACAGCTAAAGACAAGAGGAGACATACCGTGGTTGATTTAACCACGGGACTGAAGGTCTCAAAAAAGTCCTCTCCAGCAACCTGATTAAAGCCTTTAGCAAGCAACTGAGCTTTGTGTCGTTCAATGGAACCATCGACCTTTCGTTTGGTTCTAAAAACCCATTTGCAACCAACAACGTTCATACCTGATTCAAAAGGAACAAGACCCCAAGTATTATTATGAACCAAGGCATTAAATTCTGAGTCCATTGCATCACGCCATTCTGGGAATTTGACCGCCTGAGAATAACAAGTTGGTTCGGGTACAGCGGTAGAAACCAAGGCAACATGCTCATGCGGACCTGTACTGCGGGTGGCCATGACGTGCGTCCGAGGAGCAGTCGTAGCCGCACCTCGACGAGTGGAGCCTGGCGACCGATCGCGTCGTCACACGGGCTGGTCCGAGACAGTCCGCTCACTGGATGCGGACTGCTCGGCACCACCCGTAGCAGCCAAAACCGGCTCGGCAGCACGCTCGTGATCATCCGAAGATGCAGTCGCGGTATCCCGTGCCGGAGCGACAACCGACGCAACCCCTGGGCTCAGGGCGAGACTGTGACATCTGCGAGGAAACACGAGTAACAAAAGGAAAAACAGTCTCATCGAATTGCACGTGACGATAGATAAAAACCTTGTTAGTGTTAGTATCTAAACAACAATAGTCACGATAAGACGTAGGGTATCCCAGAAAAACATAAGGAAACGAACGAAACTGGAGTTTATTGCGATTATATGGACGTAGAACAGGAAAGCACAAAAAACCAAATACCTGCAAGTAAGAGTAGGATGGGGGAGAACGATGTAAACGAAAGTGCGGTGACTCATCAGAAAGAACACGAGTAGGCATTCTATTTATAAGGTAGACAACAGTCTCAAAAGCATAGTCCCAAAAACGAGAAGGAACAGATGCCTGAGCCATTAAAGACAGTCATGTCTCAACAACATGATGATGCCTGCGTTCAACTCGGCCATTATGCTCGTGAGTATACGCACACAATTGCCTGTGACAAATACCCAGAGAAGAAAGAGTGGAACCAAGCTTCTTATATTCTCCCCCTAAATCAGATTGAAAAGAAATAATCTTGCGAGAAAAAGAACGTTCAACAAGTGATCGAAACTTATCAAAAATGACGTATAATTCAGATTTAGCATGCATTGGATAATACCACATATAACGTGTATAATCATCCACAAACAACACAAAATATTTAAAGCCATTCGCAGAAAGTAACGGCGCAGGGCCCCAAATATCAGAATATATTAATTTTAAATGATGCGTACTCGTAGTTTCAACACGAGATAACAGAAAACGAGATGATTTTCCTAATTGACAAGAAGAACAAACATTGGGAAGATCTTTAAAATTAAAACTACTAACAGACGAAGACTCTAAAATTTTACGTAAGACTCTCGAATGCGGATGCCCCAACCGCATACGCCAAACAAAGGAGGAGCACGCAACAACAAACGCAGCTGGAGCAGGAGAAGACGCAGGCCAGGAATAAAGACCTCCAGATGCATGCCCTTTAAAGAGGACTTTCTTGATCAAAGTGTCCTTCACAAAGAAACAAAGAGAGTGAAACTCAAAGAATACATTGTTATCTTTGACAAAACGCTGAACAGATAATAATGAGCTAGAGAGACCAAGAACATGCAAAACATCACGCAAAGTAAATGACCTAGAATTAGTGGCTAACGAAGAAGTACCAACATTAACAATAGGTAAACTTGTACCACTGCCGACACGAAGAGTCTCTGGGCCATCATAATTTGTCGCAGAAGTTAAAACAGAGGAATCGGACGTAGCATGGTTGATAACACCAGTATCAGGAAACCACTCATGAGGGCCAACCGAGTCATCACCACCGGAGACAGCCACATTTGCCTGAGGAGCAGGGGAGGCCAAAAAACGCTGCCAACATGATATCACAATATGTCCCTGTTTGTTGCAGATCTGACACCGCGGCCCAGAACCGGAGTGCCCCCGGCCCGGCCCGGCCCCGACCGCCTCTGCCACGACCACCGCCGCCTCGCGGCTGCTGGCCCCGACCGCCGCTGACGTGACCACCCCGGTGTACGGTCAACCGGACCACCAACGTCGACACCATTATCGGCGCAGATCCATTCCTGCGAGACCATGAAATCTTGCACCTCCGTCAGAGAAACTGGAGCACCCCGCGCCAAGGCGGCCACCAACGGACGAAATTCAGGCCGGAGACCACTAAAAACGTATAGATTTTGATCATCTAACGTGACCTCCTGCCCATCTAGGGCCAAGTCCTCAATCAGCATCTGAGCCCGACCAATGTAGTCAGATATATAGGAATTCCCTGACGCAAACTTTGTAACTCACCAAACAACCGCAACGGCGGGGAGCGAGTAGAAGAGACGAGGGATTGCTTAATGGTTAGCCAAAGCTTTTGGGAAGTTGTCCGGCCAACCGCAAAAAACAACGTCTCCTCGGAGAGAGACGAAATCATAAGCGACAAGATCGCCTTGTCCTGCCTCCGCCACGCCGCTTGCTGAGCCGAAAGATCGACCGTCGGTGCGCTATCCGCCATCGATGCACCGGCCGGCGACGCGGACGGGTACAGTGCCGTACCGTCAACGAATCTGAGAAAGCCCTGTCCTTCTAGGAATGGCAACATCTGCGTCCTCCAGAACAGATAATTCCAAGAGGTGAGTTTCAGGGAAACAAGTGATGAGCCAACGAAAGATTATTGCCAATAAGCATCGGAGAGGTCTCGGTAACGGTCCGTTTAGAGGAACGAACTGATCCGTCATCATTAGCACCGAGATTCTTCATGAGAGAAAATCTGGAAACTGATACAAGATGAGAATATAGATTGTGTTGTATTGAATACCAAAGTCTGGCATTCAAAAAAAAGGAGAGTTTTTACCCATTTTGGTCCCTTGACTATGGCTCATTCTCAATTTTTCATTCCGACTTATAATTGCACCCAATGTGGTCCCTTGACTTTTGAAAATTACCCCAATTTAGTCCTCCGTTACATTTTCCATCATTTAGGCGTTAAGTAGGAGGGCATATTTGTAACACCCCGTGTTACGAGTCCTAAAACCAGTTAATTAATTAACCATCTACCCAAAAATAAAGGAAATAAATCACAAGGATTAATTAGCATTAAGCCCACCATGGTCCATGGGCCCCCCATCTCTAAGCCCAATCCCTAATCCTAGGAGAATTAGACCCCATAGCATATAAATAGGGAACTTAGAAGGCATCTAGAATCCCCACCATAATAATCTCTCACCACCCAAAGAGCACCAAGAATTCCCCTAGGAGAAATCAAGAAATCAAGAAAGCTGAAAGAAAGATCCTTCATAGCCAAGGAATTAATTAAGGCTAAGAGGTAACCCATGTCTCAACAAAACCTATTTTCATAGTTATGATTCCCCCTTAGGGTTTCCCCCATATTATTGTGTTTGGCGAGTTATGATGATTATTGTTGATGTTTGATGTGATGATCCCATGAGGGATCTTGATAATCTTGATATTGGGAGATTCTTGATAATTATGGAGTTCTTGATGATTATATAGAGTTCTTGATGATTATGTGTTGTTCTTGATAATTGTGTGACGTTCTTGATGTTTATGTGTTATTCTTACCGAATCTTGCAATTAGAAGACGAATCGTATTCTTGTTGATATAAAAGTGATTAGAACCCTAGGTTATATCGTATGATATTATTCTTGGATTATCGGGTGGGGAAATCGCATGTTCGGGTGTTGATTACGTTTAGAAAAGCATGATGGGTTACGTGCTGTTCGTTTCTCGTATTTGATCCGTTAATTGTCTACGTGTTGTCGTTAATTGCGTTGTAAAGTGTCTAAGCATGGTTTCGGGTTCCACAATGGTTCCCGGGGCGTAAAAGTGATGGAAAGAGTCAGTTGGGGGTAGGTGGGGGGTAGGGGACCCGCCACCTACCCATGGCCGTGAAACACCGCCCGGCAGCGGGTAGCTGGCGGGCGGGCAATTGCCCGCCGGCGACCCGCTGCCCGGAACAGTAGAAACCGGCGGGTGGCCCCCCACCCACCGGCTACCCGCTGGAAATTCGTCCCACCCGGGACCCCGGCTTCCCCGTTTAATGTTCCCCCGTTCCCCGTGGTGTCCCAACGGACTCCGTTTATCGTGCCTATGTCTAGTTTGATATTTCGGGTACCGTTCGTAGGTTTATGAGTCTATTATATTGCATGCTAGTTGAATTGGTATCCCGTTGACCTAGGTGGAAGGAGTATGAACCCCTTAGGACTATTCTTAGTATGTGATGGATCACGCATAGGTTTTGTTATACGTTTTACCCCCCCTTCCCAATGTGTAATGTGGGTTGCATGTGCTTGCTATGTGTTATGTGTGTGTGTTACCCCAATTCGGTTGCGATCAGATTGGTTATCCTGAGCTGCGGTTCAGAAGCTGGCTGCGGTCAGATTGATACTCTTGGGCTGCGGTCCACCGTTTGGTTGCGATCAAACGTTTCTATACGAGCTGCGGTTCGTCCTCTTTCCTGGCTGCGGTCAGATGACATTCTCTTGGGCTGCGGTCCACTGTTTGGTTGCGATCAAACACTATGATGAGCTGCGGTTCATTGGTCGGTTGCGATCGACCCCTCCGTGTTGCGATACGGGGCAGGGTGCTGCGGGGCCGTGTCAGAGCTATATGCGCTGACCCTCATGTATGGGCATGCGATTGGTCATGTGGCGCCAACAAAGTGTGCTAAGTATTGTGATATGGATGAGTGGTGATTATGAGTGTCCTGGGGGATGTGACTATGGGTTTTATGTTGGGGACTGCTTATGTTGGGTTATGATTATTGTTTATGCTTTGCCGTATCTGCTTTATCTGTTGTGAACTGCATATGCTTGTTATAACAGTTGCTCGTGTCTGGCCTTATCTGTCGAGTCATTCCCGGTTTTAAAGCTAGAGTTCGTAGGATATACCTTCATGCTCAAAATGGTTTTCGTATATCTATATATATCTCTATATGTATTGTATTTCAACGCGTTGGAGTGGGTTACCAGCATCTCTCGCTGAACAGATATATTTGGCTTTCAGGCACAGAAGATTAAGTCACTGGAGCGCGCTAGAACTTGGAAAGTAGAAGTAGTTAGTTCCCCTTCGGCCTGCGTGCCATGTTTATGTAATTACGCTTTGAGGTTATTAGTTATTTAGCCTGTGCACTTGGGTTCTCTAGCCCAGGTGTGGCATAGCACCCCGAACGCTTGTATTATATCTTGGGATTTAATAAGATTCTACCTTTATTATAAGTTTTAAAATGTCTTGAAAATCTGGGGTGTTACAGTT